GCATAAATAAATAACATTCATAAGGACCCCCAAACTATTACGCTCTGCTGCAATTCAACCTGGAATATGCTAGCTGGAGCCAGATTTGGGTGGATCAGCCGAATGGCTGGAAGTGTTCCTTGGTGCCCACTCCTTCCAGCAGCAGCCTCCCCTTGCCACAGACAAAATGCTTCACAGTTAGACAACCCTGCTGATTGGATTGAGCTTTGCAGAAATGTCCAGAAAACTGGATGGCAGGACTTTCTGTAGCAGAGCCTTTCTTCTAGATGACTCATCCTGGATCCAACCTATTTATTATTTTATTTATTTAGCAAACGTCTATGCCGCCCCATTCGCCGAAGCCTCGGGGCAGCTCACAACAATAAATAAATAAATACACAAATACACAGGCTGCTTGTTTTATTCTGCACCCCATCATACCCACACATGGTCACACACTGAGCCACTTTGCACATAATGACCATTCATGGGCCATTTACCCATAAATCCTCCGGAGAGTCCAGTAACAGGTAACTGCACTTCCTCTCATTCATCTGTCACTTTCACTTTGCATCCAGCTTATTAAAAAAATCAAAACTGGAGCACCCCAGCCTGTTCTTCGGTTGTTTGCATGACACGTTATCCCAGAACTCTGTGATGATCAGGGACAAGCAGTCCAGAGTTTTAACATAAGAGCAAACCATTACATGTGAACCAAGCCAACATCTTGCTGCTCTTCTTAGATCTAAAACAACATGCCTAGGTGATGGAAACTCCTCGCCTTTTAAAAAAAGCTAGGTTTGTTTCCATATTTACACTTAATACATGCTGATGTAAAAATAACAAAAAACAATTGTGTTTAATAATAATGCCTCAGTGGCTATAAGGAAGAAACAAGTGCAGTCAGGTCTGGTACCAAATTCAGCTATAAAACTGTGTTTAGACTATTGGTTCTCCTCTTTTCAGAGACATTGCCCATGAGCCCTATCTCTGGAACATGGAGTGCCAAACACACCTGTGATCAGAGATCCAGAGTATTAGCAAGACTGATGTGAGCAAACAAAGGAAATGGAGTACTTTAAGGTGAATTCAGTGCACATAAATTCAGCCAGGCGAGGAATCTAAGGTCTTGGATGCTCTGCTGGTTATTGACCTCACAATCCTAAATACATTGAACTGGAAGAAAACTGATTTCAGTGGGAATTGTTTCCAATGAGCATGCCTAGGATTGCTGCCATCTGTGTGGGCTTAGTTTATCTTTCTTTAAATGCAATTGTATCTAGAGTGCTTCCAGATGGCAGGCTCCTAGGGTGGCCATATGTTCTGCTTGACAGAGGACAGACTGCTGTTGGAGGGTGTCCTCACTTGGAAGTGTTGCCCAGTCCAAATTCGGTTTGAAGAGGAGGAGCCTAGAAGAGAGAGCCGCTGGGGCCTTGAAGGTGCTTGTCCTCAGCAGACAGCACACAGACATTTCCCATAATGGCGAGAGATACTGTATTTTTACTTAAGTTATAGTAATTTCTAATTTTGTAGTGATACGTTCAAACTGACATACGCAGCATTTCTGCAAGCCTGCCTCCTCTTGTATCTTCTTTTCTGGTTATGCTTTTGCTATTTTTTTGGTGAGACACAAGTGGCCCTCCTATAATCTAGCACCAGCAATCAAAATGTCTTGTACAGCTCTAATATTGTCACTTTCTCCTTGTCATGTATTTTCCCACTGCTGCTTCTGACTTTTTTCCTTTTCACAAAAAACCAGGGAATGATTCTGTGGCCCCTAAGCATCTTCCGAAGGCCAGGGAGTGCTTTGGATTCCCAGGTCCTTGATTAAAGACTGAGTTCCGCTGTCAGAGCCAGAAGCTTGAGCTCTGACCAGCAACTCCCTCACAGCTGGCATGGAAACAACCAAGCTGGGTGCCTCACCAAAACTAGGAGCTTGAACTTAGGGAGTAAAGGGGACATTCCATTGGGCTAGGAGGGGAAGAGACTGCAGGGGTCAGAGCATGTGGCCCATGTCCTCTGTAGCCTCCTTCCTTTTCCCTCTGAAACACCCCAGTCAGATGGCCAAAAATGACCACCTAACAAAAGTACAGAGATGAAGGTGCAGTGAGGCAGAAATTGCCTCTGATGCTCCTGCTCTGCACAGAATGCTTCTAATCCCCTAAATTCAGGAATTTACCGATATTCCAATTAGCTTACACCTTTGAGAAAAGTATGGGTGGGGGACCGTCAATAAAATTGAGGCAGGGCAATTGCAGGCTTAAGGGCTCATGACTCACGCTAAGCTGCCAACATGAAAAAAACCTTTGGACATGAGCCACCATGCACTTGAAACAAGGTCCGCAATAAGAATTATAATTTACTAATTAATTTTAAACTTGTACAATTATATAGTACTTTTCAAAGAGCCTGAGGTCCTTTTGGAAAATACCGTTTGGCCAAATGCAAAATAGGATGGAGACTCCTGTGATTTGAATAGTTATGTAGAAGAGGAAGTGTCCTCTTCCACACAACTATTACAGATGGAGGAGTCCCAGAATGATCAGATGAAAGGTTTATGACTTCAGCATCCGGTTTCCTACAGTAGCTAACTAGATCCCCCTGGGAAGCTGTAAGCTAGATAAAATAGAGCTGCCAGGCTGCTGACGGGGACTGGGCGTTATGTTCACATGACTCCAGTCCTCCATCAGCTTCACTGGCTTCCCATTGAAGTCTGGGCCCAATTCAAGGTGTTGGTGATGACCTGTAAAGCCCTAAACGGCTTGGGTCCTGGTTACCTGAAGGAGCGCTTACGTCCATATATGCCTGCCCGCCCCAAGACCTGCGGGAGAGGCCCTTCTCCAGGAACCCTCCGTGAAGGAAATTGGGAGGGTGAGTACTCGGAGGAGGGCTTTCTCTGCGGTGGCGCCCAATCTATGGAATGCGCTCCCCACAGAGGTCCGCCTGGCACCGTTGTTATTTGTTTTTCGGTGCCAGGTGAAGACCTTTTTATTCAAACGTCATTTTAACTGTTAATACTATTTATTTATTTTATTCTTTGGCCAGGGCGACTTATTTTATATTGTTAACTTATTTTATTTTAATTGATTTATGTTGTGAGCCACCCCGAGGCTTCGGCGAATGGGGCGACATAGAAATTTTCTAAACAAACAAACAAACAAACATGAAGGCAATAGACTTCCGCTTGTGTTTTCTAGGAATTGATATGCAGAGGTGTGCTACCTTTGATATGAGAGGTCCAATCCATCTATAGCAATACCTAGCTTAATCAACCTATGGGTCGTTGCCTTAGCCAAAGATAACTCTCAGTTTGGTGCCAAATGATCAAGCAAGAACTGGTTATTTGATCAGTTCCTGGCCTTTTTGGTTTCTGTTCCCTTTGTCTGCTCGTTCCCTGTAGCTGTAATGCTGGCATGTAAAGCAGCTGGGTCTTTCCACTGCTCTTGCCTTTCACCTATGCACTCTGGCAAAACAATTCATGAAAAAACCACAGTTCTGGATTCACACACAGGGAGAACCCATGGTTTAAACAACCCAGAGGGCACAACACACCAACCAAGCATAGGTTCTTTTTGTGGGTTGTCCATGGTTAACTGCTCATAATTAGCCCATAGTTCTAGGTTCACATATAAGGATAACCTGGAGTTCAACATCTCATAGTATGGGTTGGTGTTATATGCAGGCCAGGTAAATATATATCAAATCCATCAACAATCAGAAGTTTAATCCCTATTTTAAAGCCATCATTACTTCAGGAGGAAGTGAATTCCATAATTTCAAGTAAGAACTGGGTAAACCCAGGACATCCTTTGGTCTGCCTACCAGTCAACTGAATTAGATGGACCCCACGTTCTAGTCTTATGAGAGATGAAAAAAAAATTCTATCATTTTGAGGAAAAAAAATTTCTATCATTTTCTGTGCATAATTGTGCAGTCCTCTCTCATCTCCCCTTTTTCCTAAACACCCACCCCACACACACACACAAACAATATAACCTTTATTTTCAGGGAAGCTACTGCAACCCCCCGATATTTTAATTGGTCTTTTCTGAAATGTTTCTAGTTCAATCCCAGCTAATGCCACTCTAGTTGGCACCCTAACTAACCTACTCCCTCATCTGAACTATTAGGCTATAGCTTTAAGAATCTCTGCAGGTTAATTGGTGGTATTTGACTGCCTGTTGTGTGTGGATAAAAATGGCCATAATGCAAGATGGAGGTACTGAGCAATCTCTGGACCGAAGCACTTCCTCAGCTGCCAACAAAGCAAAGGTTTAAGTGGCCTGTTCTTCCTGATTGGCCCATCAAGGGGCTTTTCTCTCTCTAATCCCTAATCAGGTGCCAACTGGCTTCTTTTGGTGGGCAAGGGAGCATGTACATTTTCAGTCTTTTGATCTTGGCCTCCTCGGAGTTCTGTCAGATAGCAGAAGCATACAAGCAGTGCAAAGCCTGAAGAAATCAGGAAAGTTAGTGCTGAAACTGTGTCAGGAAACCAGATTAGACATAATCTTCTCTCCAGATACAGGGAGTAGTGGAACAATGGAAAAGGAGGAAATCTGGTATCTCTTGTTCTTTTTCTCCTGTAGTCTTTCTCTCCCCCTCACTCGTTCAGGCAGTGACTTGCCCAAGGTCAACCAATGAACCTAATGGTGGATTAAGGATGGCATTCCATCTGAACTATAACTTGCTAAATACTACAGCTCCTGTTACCAGATATGACTGTCGGCTGGTCCTAATAAATTTGGTGCAGTGCTAGGCACTGCTGCTGTTTGGCTTGTGTGTGTGTATTGTATTAATGTAAATTCATATAGCTATGGATCATTGTGGCTGCTTGAAATTTTGGACCTTCCTTGAGAGAGTGGCTGTTAGGGCTGTTATGAGTGTGTGCATTTCAGAATTTACCAGTAAAGCCCTGGCTCTTACGTGAGCAGAATTTGCCCCGTATCTTCTGTATGTGGGCAGAGGATGAAAACAGAGTGATGAAAACAAGCACACATTGAGAATCATCAGCCAAATCCAAATTTCATAGTTCATCTCCTGTTTTAAATTACACGCACATCATTTCAAGTTCTTTTGTGCCAAATGACCTCACATGCAGGGCATGGACTCTCCCAGCAACACAGACAAACCCCTGCAAAGGGAACTGGTCCATTAAAGGTGACGCTCTATAGATCTCATTAGCTGAGCAGACATTAGGGATACAGTTCTTCAACAATAATTACACTATTATCTCTCACCCTGACAAGCACCAAAGTGGCCTGTGCCTTGGGGGAAAAGTTGAGCGGCATTATGACTACAACCAATATAACAGAAGAGAATGCTTCAAACGCCCATTTTATTCAAGATGTGAAGTAGGAAATCTTACCAAATAATTTCCAATGAGGGAAGTATTGGACAACACCCTAAGAAAAATAAAAAATAGAATCTATTCTATTCACCCTAAGACATAGGATCTGCTAAGGGAGAGACAGGCAGAGCACACCACTACCCCTCATGAAAACAAACATGATTGTAAAGAAACAGCACGGCCTTATGAATTCTTGTGACAGCCAATATGTTGTAGTGATTAGCGTGCCGGAGTGGGATGCCAAATATCCCAGTTCTTGTTCCCCACTCATCTGTGGGACCGACCAGCCACTGACTCCACTCAACGTACAGGCTTGCTGATAGGCTAGAATGGAGCAACGTATTAGTTATCTTGGGTTCCATCTAAGAGAAAAAAGCAGGATATAAAGATAGTAATAAATCAGGCTTACGTGTCATCTCTCCATCTAAGTAAACATGCTAACCACTAACCACCCTCTTAAGGACAAGGTCTGCAGCTTGGGAGTGCTCCTCGATCCAGAGCTTTCGCTGGAAGCTCAAGTAACAGCGGTGGCGAGGAGCGCTTTCTTTCAGCTTCGGCTGATTCACCAGCTGCGTCCCTACCTGGAGAACGACTGCCTGGCAACAGTGACACACGCATTGGTCACTTCCCGATTAGACTTCTGCAATGCGCTCTACGTGGGGCTGCCCTTGAAGACGGTCTGGATACTTCAGATGGTGCAAAATAGAGCAGCCAGGTTGCTGGCGGGGACTGGGCGTTACTCTCGTATAACCCCAGTCCTCTACCAGCTTCACTGGCTTCCCATCGAAGTCCGGGCTCAATTCAAGGTGCTGGTCATTACCTATAAAGCCCTTAACGGCTTGGGACCTGGATACCTAAAGGAACGCCTTCTTCCGTATTTGCCCTCCCGCCCCCTGAGATGGGCGGCAGAGGCCCTCCTCCGGGAACCCTCCGTGAAAGACATTAGGAGGCAAAGTACCCGGAGGAGGGTTTTCTCTGCAGTGGCGCCCCATCTGTGGAATGTGTTCCCCAGAGAAGTCCACCTGGCGCCGTCATTATTTGCTTTTCGGAGCCAGGCCAAGACCTTTTTATTTAAATGTCATTTTAATTGTTGATTTTATTTATTGATTTTAACAACTTTGGCTAGGATGTCTCCAACTGTATTTTATTGTACTAATGATATTTATTTATTTGTAAGCCACCCCGAGGCCCAGGTGAATGGGGAGGCATATAAATCTGCTAAATAAATACATACATAAATAAATTCCCTTTACCAGCTCTCTTTCCTATGACTATCAGGTGATCCAAATAAACTGGGCATGGAACAGTGGTGCCTTGGCTCACAAACTTAATCCGTTCCACAAGTCTGGTTGTGACCCGAATTGGTAGCGAGCCAAGTCAAATTCCCCCATAAGGTTCAATGTAAATACGGTTACTCCATTCTGTAATTATTTTTTTTTAAATCACAAAAAATTGAAACGAAGTAACAAAGAACGACAAAGTAACAAAGTACAGTACAGTAGAGAACACTAATCTAGGCGGTGGGGGGAGTTTATTGTTTGGAGGGAGAGTCCAAACCATAATCACGCGATAGCGATCATGCTTGGAGGGGTGGGGAGATGGCCGCATTGCGATCATGCTCAGGGGGAAGACTGGCACGATCACAATGGCGGGGGGGAAGATGGCCGCGATCATGGTTGCCACCCAATGCAGAGTTCGCAAACTGAGGCAAAATTTTTCTGAAATTTCTGTTTGCGACCCAATTTGGTCGTGAACTGAGGTGTTCGTGAACAGAGCTACTACTGTATAATGAACTCCTGCTGTTTAATATGTGTGCGTGCACACATGCGCATCTGTAGAAAGACATACATAGATGCACGTAACTAGGACCAGACTGGGTCAAAGGTGGGCAACATGGTGCCCCAGAAACCTTTCTCGGCACTTGCCAAGGTGTCCCAAGGAGAGTAATGGGGCTGAAGAGCTAGAGAGCCAGTGGAAAGGTAGCAGAAGGGCCAGGAAGCCAGTGGGAACGGTTGGGAGAGGAGCAGGACGTCTGAGTGGAGCCAGCTATGAGTGCCGGGGGGGCTTGGGGAGGGTGGTGTGCTGCTATGTCGGATTGGATGGGGACTGCAAGAAAGAGAGAGAGGGTTGACAAGAGCTTTTGGAAGGATCCTGAAAGGATCTTTGAATGCTTGCTGCAAGGTGGAAAAGTGAGGAATCAGGACCAGGGTCCAAGAGGTCCCCTAGATTGTCTCCTCCATTTCCCTGCTGTAACCAGCTTGTTCACCTCCCTCTTACTCTGGCCCAGGTAACAGTGGTTTGGGGAAAGAGGAGCAAGGGATGCTGCCATGTCCTCACAATCTGCCTCTTCGCTCTTCAAATGAGAAATGGATGGGTAGGAAAAGGGATGCAGTGCAGTAGTAGCTGATGACAGTGGAAATCGTAAGGTAGACTCACACGGGGAGGGGACTCTCTGGCCAAGGGCTCTCCGAAACCTGCAGCCAGCACTGGGTAGGATAATCCTGTAGATTCACTGTATGCATATGTGCATATATGGAGTGTTAGTGTCTGTGTGATCTTGAGCAAGAGAGAAAAGTGACCAAAATCTAGTGTGCTGCATTATATTTTCAGCCCACCATTCTTCCTCTTCAAAGGCACCCAAGGTGGCTTACAAGTTTTCTTCCTCACCAGTTTATCTTTACAATTACCACACTGTGAAGGAGGTTAGGCTGAAAATCTGTGACTGGTTCAAAGCCACTCAGTGAGCTTCATGGCGGAGGGGGGGCTACAACTTGGATCCTTCATCCCCAGCCTAGATGTCTCAACACTATGCCACACTGGAATTCTGTTTGTTTAGTGAATCATTGCTTATACACCCATCTGTACCTTGTATTCTGTGTTTTGGGCAGATTACTTGTCCTTTCAAGAATCTGTCATAGCAGCCATATTGTGATGGTATCCAGGATAATTTCTCAAATTTCCAAACTATGAACCAGAAAGGTCGCCTACTCCTATCTAGAGTCTGAACTAATCAGGAGTAGTAATAGGCCTGGGCCAAAGCCTCAAAGTCTCTTTTCTTTTCAATGGTTTTACCTGTTCCCTTGCCTTTTTTTCCCTCTCCCGGAAGCTGGAGATGTAATGTTCCAAAGAAACTGTAGTGTTAATTCAGTCTCTGTCTGTGTTTCCCAAGATAAAGTCCTTTATAGCTTGTTCCACCTAATACAGTAATAGAGGGAATCATACAGCACCTTGTAGGCATATGTATGCAAATAATACAACATTCTATACCAATTGTAAATCTCACAGAATAGCAACACCTATTAAAATATCAGGGAATGTGTTTGGTAGAAATATGAAAGATATCTTTGGAGGCTTAACGAAACAGCCATAACTTAGTGACAAAGACTTTACAAGCTACATGCAGAGACAGTCTTAGGAGCTCCAAATCTCTGAGGCCCCTTCCCCAGCACCTTGCAACCCATGGGTATTTGTTGAAAGACAGGGGGGCCCTCTTGCATCCGACCCCCTTGATGAGTTGGCTTTTGGCTCACATGGGCTCCCCGCCCCCCTCACGCTGCGGCCTCCTTGAACCTGCGAGGCAGATTTGTCTGCTATCAGATGCCTTCTTCTCCCCTGCCCACGTGCCCCTTTTGATAGCAGTACCCTTAGGAGACAGGGCTCTGTGAAGACACCTGCCCAAGCAGCCTTCAGGGCCTGGGAACACGCACCTTCGGGCCTTCATTTTTTATTTTCCTGCTCCGGTGGGATTGCGCCCCCGGGCGCACGGGGCGTCTTTGTTATACGTACACCGAGTGTGCACGTGCAACCGGCAGCTGCGGTGCTTGTAAGGGAGCAGAAGGCAGCGCCGTCCATCGCGGCCCTGTCAAAAGTGCCAACAAGACCGGCCGGGGGGGGGGGGGATGCCCATCCCCCAACCACTCGCTGCGCACGCGCGGCAGAGGAAGCACAGACGAGGCAAGAGAAAGGAAGGCAGGGTGGGGCGAGAGAGATGACGTAGCGAACAAGCGCCGCGCATGCGCTCTACCTCTCGTGGACTCTTTCCCCAACGGTCGCTTGACTAGGAGTCCTCCTCCTTCCCGGCAGCCAGCGCGACGAAGAGACGCAGAAAGAGGCGGAGCGTGGAAATCGGAGCTCGGCGAGCCGGCCCGCTGAGGCGGTGGAGGAGCGAGTGAGGGAACCGAGAGCGTGGCGGTGCTGGGGGATCCTCTGCGGCTGTCCGGAGCGCCAGGAGACAGCGGCCTGGCCGGAAGGGTGAGTGCGGGCCGGCAGGGGCGTCCGGCCCTCAGTGCGCGCGGAAGGGGAGATGGAGGACCCCTCCCCACCAGCATCCCTCCTCCCGTCCTACCTGTGAGGTGAAAACAGGCCGCTTAATCTCCTTAGGCGCAGAAGGGCCCGAATTTGAGAAACGTGCTGCTCAGGCGACCCTAAGGTCGCTTCACTCCGTGAGTGCGGGAGGTGGGACTGGTTCTGTGTATGTGTGTACACGTGTCTGTTTCTCGGGTCTGTGTACTAGGACGGGATTCCCGGCCTGGATGTCTCAGGACGGCAAACTGGCCCCGGCATGCCCAAAAAACTGAGGAGGAGGAGGAGGAGGAAGAGCAGGAGAGGGGGGCCAGAATCGTGGTTTCTTGTTATGTCGAACCTTTGCCCCCCCCTCGCCCGCCCCGCTCATTGGCAGTTATTGGAGGAGGAGGAGGAGGAGGGCGACTTTTATTAATAGCTCTTATGTAAATTTGTTTGCTAGCAGGTTGTTGATGTCCATGGAGCGCTGTGGAGGACTGAGGGGCTGGCTTTGGAGGGTAATTTAGGATTTGTAAGCTGTTGAGAGAGTTGGCCTTATTTAAAGTGGGATTTATCTAGAGTTGCTGGAGGAGCGAGTTCTCAGAGTTGGATAAGGGATGGCAAGAAGTCCGGTGCACCAACTAAAGCAACGGCTCTGAATCCTCTAAGGGAAAGGTAGATGGTGTTGGGGTTTATAGCACTTAGTGTAATAGCTTTTGATCTGAAGGTTGAATGCTTCCAGTCATTCTCCCCCACCCCCTTTGCAGTTTGGCAGATCTGGACAATATCCTTTGCTGTAAACATTGTCATGTGATTTGGCTGCATTTTGTTATGATGCTAAGCTGAAGAGTACCAGTTTAAGAACACCTCCCCAGGATATGTGTTTCTCCTGCCAGTTTCTTAGAGACCTAGCTCCTGGAACAGCAGGAGTGTAATTGGTCCGTGCTCTAGAAATAGAGAGCATCATTAAATAGGAAATGAGGAAATGACAGTTAAAAACAATCCAGGATAATGCTCAGTTTCCTGTAAAACATATTGTTTCCACAAACAATAGAATGATTCATATTGTGGTATCAGGATCAGTCCCACACAACTTCCTGGCTTTTGTTGGCCTCCAGAGTAAATAATTTTACACATGTGATTTTAAAGATTAATTGTCATGAATGGTTTGGTGTCTCAAATAGTTATTCAGACAAGAAGGAAGTGGTTTCATATTATGCCAAATCCCTGTATGTCTTATCCTCCAAGTCACAACCTCCCACTCAGTAAGCCCTACTGTATAAAGTGGAGATTGCTTCTAAATGAGCATACTTTGATTTGGCTCTTAAAGCAGTGACACAGCTGGCACCTGTCGGTGGCAGGGCAATCGGTTCTGACTTCCAGAAGCATGTAGACAGAGGTAACTGCGCACTCCCTGCATACATTTCTCGGCTCCCTCGAGGGATCCTAGCCCCCCACCCCGACACAGAGAGGGATGACTACTGCTGCCACGAGGTGTGTGAGATAGTCAGTTGGAAGAGATGCAGACTGGGGGCAAGGAGATCTGTCAAGATGCTACCCACCAAGGCTGACCTGTTGGGCTGCTTAGAGGAGGTGGATGGCTGCATGGGTTGCCAAGAGCAGTGGGTGCAGTGAGAAGAGATGGTTGGGCGATGCAGGGCATTGCTCCATGTATCACTCCTGATTGGCTCAGGTGTGCTATATATGGGAGAACCTCCCATCTTTCCTGGGACAGTTTTACCCTGGATATCATCTGGGCAGCTCTGGCGTAGAAATATAAGTTCTTCCACCTGTGGTCCCTGTATTGTTGACTTTGTATGAAGGCTGAGGGTGGAAGGAAAACAAATGCCCCATGATGTGTCTGGTTCCTGTCTGAGGCCATGTTGTTTGGGGAGCTTCCTTGAACTGTTTGCAGTGTGAATTCACACCCACCATATCCCTTTTTTTCACCCCTGAAGTGACTGTTCCCCAACTCCCTGCATTCACGCAGACGGTGAGTGGAGTACATGTCACACCCTTTCTCCCAGTGCGGTTTCTACAGCACCCTTCCTTCCACTGGGGTTTCTGTTTTCCAGCCCCCTGCCCTATTCAGTGAGCCACTGGAGACTAGTATTGTGTGTCCTGGCCTCCCCCTCTCTTTGTCTGTTTGTCCAGAGCATTTCCTGGGTGAGTCTTGAACAGCTGTGTGCATTCCCTGTGGGCTTACCTTCTCATCCTTCCTGTATTGTGCTCATGAAACCAGGTGTGAAGAGGGGGCTGAAGTCTCTGCCTGTGGGGATGTTTGGAAACTGGCAGCTGTTGGGTTGCTGCTGACCATTCCATTGGAGCTTGTGAAGTGGAGGTCCTGTGGCATCATTTGAGGGTTGATTCAGGGGCCTTCTCCTTTGTTGTGCATTCCTTGGCTGCTTCTATATGTAAACGGCATGTGGATGTCATTTGTGGCATGGGTCCCGACTGGTAGCACAATGTGAGGCTACCACATGAGGGGTGATTATACCCCGTAAACTTGACTTCCCTGAAATAGGCTGAATAAGGAAATCACAGTTTGCTGATTTTTTGGACAACCTTACTTGTCCAAACAGGTTCATTGCCATTGAATTACTAGCTTTTCCTGGAATTCTTTATTTATGCAATACCAGAAACTTTTTAAACATCTTGGGGTTTTTTGTGGGCTGGCATAGTTCCAAAGCAGACTTTGTGATGTTCCTTATGTGTTTGAAGGCAGCACTGTATATAAATTACTAAATGCACATGAATACTTGAGTTCTGATCATTACATGTGCCGTACAAAGTAATAGCAGGTCTTTCAAATCTTATTTTGTGGCAAAAAATTGACCAAAGATCCAGGGAAGAACACATGTTTCAAATTATACATTTCACATGTACCACCTCTGAAATTTGAATTTGTCTGACAATGCAGCTCAGAAATAACTTAATACAGAGTGCACCCAAACAGTATTATCAGTTTGAGTTTTAGGGCTGCTTGATGCATTACAAAAATCCTACCCAAATAGGATACCACACAATCCAAGGATAGGATTGAAACATTTTTTGCTATTGGTCGATGTACATGCATGCACTGGGTTTTGGTATCTTGTATTTGGTTCTGATTGTCTCAGTACATGGGGTGAAAACCTCAAGGATGATCATTGCATGCTGCAGCCTGTTTTCAAGTCATGGGTTAATGAAGTGCCTTTTCTAGAGCAGGTATGCACCTTTGTGAAGCAAGTTCTCCTGCAGTCTCAGAAGTTACAGCATTGGTAGTTATGATGTTCACTGCACATTGTTGAAACTTCTTCATATAGCCTACAAGTTCTTGTTTAAAATCTTGAAAAAAAAAAAACCCTTTCTACTCGATACTTTAACTTCAAGAGTTTTTTCCCACCTTATTTATGTGTTGATTAAAGTCTGGATTTTATCATTGTTGCTTTATCAGAAGTTAATTTTAAGTCTTGTTTAATCAGAAAGCATTGGAGTGGCATTGAAATATTTAGTCTTATACTTAAGCATCTTATGGGCACTTCTTTGTTTTGAATTGGATTGTGATTTCAGAATTGGACTGGAACTCCAGAAGGACAATCGTCACTCTTTGGACTTTGCTATCCAAAGGATATGTCATGTATCTGCTAAAGTGGGGTATAGTCCACAAATGTTTATGCCAGAAGAAATGTGTTGGTCTTTAAGGGCATTTTTTGTTTTTACTGCAACTTACTAACATAGTTACTCAGTGGAATATGGTAACAATTATAGCATGTATCAGAATTGGACAAATGGGACCAAAGTGTCCCCCTCACTTCCCATTCACCAGTGATGCCATGAATTCTGTTTATCCTGCTTAATGTTTTATGTGCCCTCTTTTGTGCAGCCTGAAACCTTGTTAAGATCAAACCTGAAATTGAAATTGCTGCAGTTTGCAAGTCTTTTGCTTTCAATTGCTTTTTAATTTGATAGTGTTCATTCAAAGCACAAACTGGCCCAATTATTCCTTGAAGTAGCTACTGCTACAAAGGAGCTTCAGGTGTACTCGTTCCCTTACAGGTATATCACGTACTATGGATGTAATTGGCATTGCCCTGCCACTTTGGCTCAAGGATCCATTTTGGTTCCGGAAGGCACAATCTGCAAAGCTGCTAGGAACGTTGTTAAGGCCATGAAAGCACTGCTGGAGCACAGGAGCTATCGAATATATTTGCTGCTTGTTTGATTGGATTAAAGAGGGTTGCTCACTGTGTCTGGGAAAACATGTAAATACCTGCCAGATTGCCCTGCTGCCACCCAGCAACTAAGTCAGGAAGAGTATCTTTGAACTGATGGATCAAAGGCCCTGGGAGGAAAAATGGCCCAATCCTGAAGAATCCCCTTATGATGCCAGTTCCTCTTATGTTTTTGTTTTGGACACCTTTATTGCTGTTAAGAGAGATTCATCACCTTATACACCCTGAAAAAGAGAGCTTTTCCACCTCTGATAAATTATTCATTGATTCTCTAGTACAGTTTCCATGCCTAGAAATGCAGTTTGGTCTCTCAGACCCTGCAGATATACTTTAATCTCTGTGAGAGCTGTCAACTTTGAATCCAGGAGAAGTGGCCAAGAAGTGGGATTAAGGTTATGTGAATAGTCTTGAGCAGAATGCACAGTTTCTGAATCTTACTGAGAACTCTGAGAATCCTCATTAGCTCCCTATCTAAATGTAATTTTCAGTCGCGGCTCCAGCTTTCCTCCTAACAGCTTAACTCCTCTTTGCTATCCTTGCCTTTACCAGCCCAGAAGCCATTCTTTTGGCTCTTTTTATTATTTATTATTTTTACATTTGCTGCCCTGCCTTTTTGTCCTATTGAAGGAACAGAAGATAGCTTAACTAGTCCTCCCTTTCTTCATTTCATTCTCATCATTTATCCTCACAATAACACTGTCAATAACAGTTATCAACGAGCTTAATGGCCAAATGGGAACTGGAACCTCATTTCCCAAGTTCCAGTCCAGTGCTAACCACTATACCACACTTTCGCACTTTCTGGTCAAATTGGTGTTTAGAACTGCCCATTTAGTAAAGTTGAGGACCCTGCAGGTAGAGTGTGTCCCTAGTATTTCTCTGACTTCTTACAACTAGCAGAGCCCCTTCTTCCAAAGATAGGTGATTCTAATCCCTCTTGATCTATTTCTTTTCCTTTCCTCTAACTTTGTCCACTCTCAGCATCACTGCCACCAACACCTGAGCTTCCTTGGTTGTATAACCTTCTGACATCCCACTCTGCTCTTTCTGTGTTTCCACCTTCTTTTTTCTATTTGGTAACCACTAATTTTTGCATTCTGTTGTTGTTTTGTTAGATTTTTACAATCAGCATACCAGTTCATGTGCCAGGCAGTGTGGCTATACATACCAAACCATTTTTCTCATCTGGAACAAGTTATAAGTTTAGGTTTATGAAAGAGTGCTTGAGCAAATCCCCTTGTTTTAGGAGAAACTGTTCCCCATTTTAGTAGAAGCAAAGTGCCTAAATCATTGTGAACACTGATTCTCTGGCTAAAGGCCCCACTAGACCAAGTGCTGGTCATTGCACATATATACAAGCAAGTGGCATGTTCATGTGAATTATAACTTACAACAGTACTACAGACAGTTGTCGCAATTGTGCTCATGTAGAATTTTTTCCCTGCATAGAAGCATGCCAACAATATGTCAGTAGAATTGTGGAAGGTGAAAGGGCCTTTCTTGTATGTTATTCAACATTTCACCTGGCTGTAAACATGAAAACAAAAGCAGTCATATTTCTGTTTTCCATTCCATTCACAGGTTTGCCAAAATGCTTTCAGAGTCTTAAATTACTCCAGGCCAGAAGTCTTTGGGATTAAGCCATCCTACAAACAGCAAGGAGGACACGGTGCCAATGCAGCAACAAAAAAGACAGCCAGAGTTAGTGGAAGGACATCTTCCTGTCTTCGTGTTCCCCACTGAGCTCATATTTTATGCTGATGACCAATCCACACACAAACAAGTGTTGACGCTCTATAATCCCTATGAATTTGCCTTAAAATTCAAAGGTGAGTGTCAGGGACTTTAAATTTAAGCTCTAGGATGCAGGGCAATGGCAGGCAACTAAATGAAACGTAGGTATTATACTGTATATGAGTACTTGACCTTTGTGACCAGTATGTCTTAAGGCTGCCATTTTTCTTTCATTTCAGTTCTTTGTACAACTCCGAATAAATATGTTGTTGTGGATCCGGCGGGTGCAGTGAAACCCCAGTGCTGTGTCGATATGTGAGTAAAATTAGCTTCTTGAATCATTCCCCCAAGCATAATCCTTCCTGTCATGCACTTTTCTGTTACCCTTGGGAAAGGCTTGTTAAGGGAAATTAAAATAGAAAATAATTTATTAGGAAATTAATATATGGAATTAAATTCCTGTTGGAAATTAACATCCCTGTCGTTTGGCTCAGTAGCTGAATTTGGACTAGTCCTTGCCCGTCAACACAGGCTACCTCACAGAGCCACTGAGAAACAGAGTGAGGGTGACTCACATATATCATCCTGAACCTTTTGGGAAAAGGGTGTTATTAAAATGTAATAAATACATTTAAAATAGCTCCAGAGCCTCTGTAGTGATTGGAAGGCTGAATTCCTATTTGCTATGTGTAAGAGGCAAATGAGGGTTATCATAGTGGATGTTTTCCATATGTGGAATGTGGAAGGTGCAGTCCTGGGCTTCGTTCTTCTACGTATGCATGCAAGTTAAGCCGCAGAGCAGGGATGAGGCTATTGGTGGGAGGGGGAGCTGTCTACGCTGTCATCAAAAACGAGCGTATCCTTATGCTTTGTCAACTGCAGTGGTTTCACAATGGCCATTCATCCCCCCTCCCCACATAGAGCAAGCACAAGGTTTGCTTCCGTTACAGAGTGATTCGTCACCGAGATGTTCGACCTTGCCACTATGGTGTGATAGACAAATTTCGGCTCCAGGTCTCTGAGCAAAGCCAGAGGAAAGCACTGGGAAGAAAAGAAGTAATTGCTACCCTACTTCCCACATCAAAAGAGCAGCAGCAGAAGGAAGAGGAAGAAACACGGCTAAAAGAACATCTGACCGAAAGTGTCTTTTTTGAACAGCCGCTGTGTCAGCCAGGTAACTAAGACGCTGGGAATACTTTCCTTCCAGTTCAGGCAGTATGTATATGGATAATATGTGTGGAACCCCGGGACTCAAGAGCTCATTCCCTTGGCTTACGTACATCCACTGTCTTCAGTCCTTTGCCACCTGGATGTGTTGGACTACAGCTCCCATCATCACTTGCTAGCATGAGGGTTGTGCTCCAATGCATCTAGAAAGCACCAGGTTTGCAAAGGTTGCTTTGTGACCGCTGCCTTTCTTTCTGTTTAAGATGTGTGTTCTATTGCAGCAGATCGTTTTCGTGTTATCACGAGACACCTTGATTACGGATTCTTTGTCTTGCCTCTAACTGATAGCTGTTCACTTATAGTCTAAGTGTGCCTGTACACCACTGCCCTGCTCTCAGTGCAGGCCAAATCCTGCTTCTGCATTGTAGGGCTGGATGAGAAGAAGGTGAACACCTAGATGCTTCTGTGCATTGTTTCTGTTTCCTCAGCAGGTGCATGAGTAATAACTGTGGCGTTTCCTGCTCGGCAGGGGTGGGCAACGTGGACCGCAGGGCCCCCTCAGCCTTGCTGCTCCATAGGATGCAGCCTTCCAGGGATGACAAAGCGCTGAAGGCGGCCCTCAGACCCCCTCGAGTTGCCCCTTACCGTGTGCTGCTCTTGCCTTAAAAATAGTGGCTTGCATCCTAATTTTCTGTTAATGGGATAGTTAATGTTCACAGAACAGCGCTTTCCTTCTTCCCTCCATAGGTGCCCTTGCCCTTTGGAAATCGGGTTTGTGGGCCTTTGGGAGGAGGTCTGGAAGGGGGTGTGACAGGGTCGGTGCATGGAGAGTGAGGGTATGTGGAAATGTGAATACAGATGTGCAGAATCCAAGCTGTTTTGTTTAAGAAATCAACCCAGAAGCATTTGTTCTGTTGATGTAGTTCACTTTATATTCTGTCTCCTCCCCATGCTCAAGCCCGTAACAGTTAGAGGGAGAAATAAGGCATTGTCTATATTCAGTTTCTGGTAATGTTTTGTTTTAAACTAGTTGAGGTAAATAAATTCCTAATACTGGGCAGTAGACTTCACTCAGAGAAAGACTAAGCCATTGCCTAGGGGCTTTTTGACAGAGATACTTTCAACCCACGTAGATTGGTGGTACTTCATATTTACAGGTGATTTAATCTTTCCTTGAGCAGACTTCCTCCACATATATTGGGAAGAGAGCAATGGTAAAAATGCATTTTCTAGATGGCATCTAGAAAGGAATGACTGCTCAGTGCCACAGGCTAGAGCAGTGGTCCCTGCAGCCACCTCCAGGCGAACGATAACCTGGAGATGGAGATGAGGAGCAGGACTCTGGTGATTTTCCGGGATCTCTCCATGGCTTTCGATGCCATCAGCCATGCTAACCTTCTGGAGAAGCGGTCTGAGCTGGAAGTGGGGGCACTGCGCTGTTACTGCTCCTGCTTGGATGGCCAGCTCCAGGAGGTTCTCTGAAGGAGTACTGCTTGGCTGCATAGTTTTTCCAACATGGAACTCCCCAGTTGTTTCCTCCTGCGCTATTCAGCATCTACAGGAAACCACTGAATGGGGTCCTCCAGCATTTTGGAGTGTGTGGCCATCAGTGCACTGATGACACACAGCTCTCTTCTGCACAGGTGAGGCTGTGGAGGTGCTGAATCTGCCTGGCCGTTAGAATGGATTGGATGAGGGCTGGCAAACTGAAGCTCAGTTCAGACCAGGCTGAGATGCTGGTAGTGGGTGGTTCTTTGGATCAGGTGGAAGGTGTTCAACCTGTTCTGGACAGATTTGAACTTCCCTTGAAAAGGAGCGGGTCTGCAGCTCAGGGGCAGTTCCTGGAGCTTTCTTTGTCACCTGACAAAGCTCATTATCTCCACCCAGTAGAGCTTGGGGAGGCTGCCTGTAGCCAGTGCCCAGTCCTGTGCTAAGAGTTAGTTGTGACATTCAGGTAAAGTCAACATAGCTAATTTTTGCACACTAATTTCTCATCTTTAGGCCGCACTTTTCAGCCAAGATGGGATCCCAAAGCAGTTTAGAACTGAAGCCTAAGTACTTTTGGAGTAATTTTGGTATAGGTAGGCATTCTCTTCAGGCAGATGGTGGTACAATCCTGGTTCCAAGTATGACCCACCAAATGGGGGCGGGGGGGGGGAGCTGCTGGCAAACTCGGAAGCTGGCTAGTGATATTGCTGTCCTCTCACAGAGGCGGCCCTTCTAGAGTCAGGCTATCTTTCCAGAGTAGGCTAAGAGTACAAAACGTGTTAGGAAATTGTGAGGAGCAGGAAGAGATAAGTGGCAAGCATGCAGGAGCCACGCTGAGAAAGAAGAAACTGGCAGCAATACATTTTGAAGCAGTTCCTTCTTGCAAGAGAAGATAGGAGAATGGCTGGTGACTTCCTGGCTTGTGGACTGTTGTAAAGGTTGTGGCTCTAAGGTCAAGATACGAATTAATGGGGGAAGCTAATAAGAGCTGAAATCCTGTACTGCTGCATAATATTGAATGTTTTTTTTCCCTTTCAGAAAACAGAATCGCCTCATCAGGGCCTAGTTTACTCACGGTCTTCCTGGGAATAGTGTGCATTGCAGCTCTTATGCTTCCCACATTGGGAGAAGTGGATTCCCTGGTGCCTCTCTACCTCCATTTAAGTGTGAATCAAAAGCTAGCAGCTGCTTATGTATTAGGTACGCAATGTTTTGCTCCCTTAAGGGATTCGGGCAACCTTCCTCACTTTGGTGATGCAGTTCAAAATGGTAAAACGGCCCAAAAATAAGTCCCATGATGCCATTAAGCCCAACATACAACTCTTAATAGCTTGAACATAGATCTGTGCTACCCTATAGTCCAATGTTGATGCATATGTAAGTTGTCTGGGCATACATTATGTTGCCATATTTCATTAAACGTAAATGTAGCTTGTTGCAGTCTTTCTGGTGCACCCACACGTGCATACATACACACTGTGTCTTTTAATGTGCGTAACCCATCAAAAATTAAATCAACACTTGATGTGTCCTTTAATTCTTTCAGGTCTCATCACCATGGTTATCCTGAAAACATGAGTGACAACTTAACTGGATGTCGAGATTCTTTTTTATCTGAATGATAGATTCACATCACGAGTGTAGACTGCCTTTGGCCCCCATTTGGCTCATTGAGATGCTGCAGAAAAGTGATTCAATGACTTACAGTACCTTTTTTTTAGACTATGTTTTAACTATGTCTGACTGAAAAGACTTCAGCACTCAGGTGCTTCTGTTACAGACAGCTATAAAGTATCCAGTAATGATACCTGTGAAATGAATCCAGAGAAACTTTTATATCTATGCCTACTGTACAAAAATTTATTCAAGTCATACGCTGTTTTTTTTAAATTCCTCATCACATCTGTGTTGGATCACCATAAGAGCTAGCCGTCCTTTCTGCAATGTTTGTTTGTCCACACCATGCCTGTAAAAATTGTAGTTAGTGCTAAATGATTTTATGTACAGATACAAACGCAGATGGCTGAACATCGTACAAAGCTGATAATCTGACAGTGATCACTTTAGGCAAACAAAAGCAGTATCATGTTTACATAAGGAACCAGTCTGTGCATACATCCTTCACCAGTGTGGGGCACAGGGCTTTTACTCATCTGTGGTATCCATTTCTGTCAAATATAATTGCCTCAATACCAACATATTGATGCGTTCCTTGATTATTTTTAGCAAGGGAGAGCTTGGTACAGAATCCTCTCCATTGGGATGGAAACTCACATTCCCATTTGGTACTATCTACCTGATTATGTATACATTTTACAGCAACAGAAACAAAGACTCTGTCAACATGTATATAATTAAAGATGTGCTTAATCTCCTTGTTTTGCAAGAAACTGATGTTAGGGATTTATTGCTACAGTTTGTATACTTTTCTCTTGCATTATCTTCCATGGAAAAGAGTTACTGTCAATTGGCACTCTCTGGTAGACCTACTTTGTCTGGTTTGAAAGAAGCACTGTCCTGTTTCCTTCCCTGGACCTGATTACTACTGTATTCGACTCTTTCATTCTCATCCATCAATGTTTTTTAAAGGTCTGATGCACTTTGATCTGTGTAAGGAATGTTTTAGAAAATTAAACCTTTGCCCCTACATTGAGTTCACCTCTGTGTATGCATGGGGAACAGCAAAACAGCCCACTGTTTCTCCAATGTTGACTTGATAGTGAAGGATCTTTACTTACTTACTTACTTACTTACTTACTTACTTACTTACTTACTTACAGTATTTTTACCCCATCCTTAAATGTCTCAGGACAGCTTAAGACATAATTAAACATAACAACACAACAAATACAACAGCCATAATAAAATGTGACTAAGCATGACCATTAAAAACTTAGTTAAAATATTTAAATTTGCTGGGTGAATAAAAAGGTTTTTACTTGGCACCGAAAAGTATATAAAGTTGGCACCAGGCAAACCTCTCTGGGAAGCACATTCCAAAGTCGGCACCACTGCAGAGAAGGCCCTTCTCCAGTTATTCACTCTCCTAACCTTCAAGGAGGATTTCTGAAGGAGGGGCTCTACCTCTGATCTTAAGGGGTGGGAGGGCATATAGGGAAGATGTTCCTTCAGATATCCTTCCCAAGCCATTTAGTGCTTTACCGGTCAATACCAGCACCTTAAATTGGGCCCGGACTTCAATCGGGAGCCAGTGTAGCTGATAGACGACTGGTATTACATGAGAATAATGACCGGCCCCCAACAGCAACCTGGCAGCTCTGTTTTGAACCAATTGAAGTATATGGACCATCTTCAAGAGCACGTTACTGTAATCCAACCGGGAAGTTGCCAGAGCGTGTGTCACCGTTGCCAAGCAATTCTCATCCAGATAAGGATGAGGAAAGTGCTCCTTGCCACCACTGCCACCTGGGCCTCCAGGGACAGCTCTGGGTCGAGGAGCACTCCAAAGCTGCAGACCCTGTCCTTTAGAGGGAGTGCAACCTTGTCCAGGACACGGCCAAAATCATTTACCTGAAAACCTGAACCACTTACCAAAAGGACCTCCGTCTTATCTGGATTGAGACTCGGTTTATTGGCCCTCATCCAGCCCATCACCTCAGCCAGGCACCGGTTCAGTACAGCCACTGCCTCACCTGGATTAGATATAAATGAGAGGTAGAGCTGGGTGTGGTCAGCATGCTGATGACTCCACAGCCCAAACCTCTGGATGACCTCTCCCAGCAGTTTCATGTAGATGTTAAACAGCACGGGGGATAAAATGGAACCCTGCAGTACTCCATGGCAAAGCTGCCATGGGGCAGAGCCACAATCCCCCAGCACCACCTTCTGGAATCAGCCAGACAGGTAGGAGTGGAACCACTGCCAAGCAGTGCCTCCTACTCCCAGACCAGCCAGCCTATCCAAAAGGAGACCATGGTTGATGGTATTGAAAGCCAGTGGTGGCAATATATACAGGGTGGTGAAAGGGAAGATTGAAATAACAGGAAGACATGTTACTGGTAAAACATTTAGAGCAAGGGTCCTCCAACTACGGCCCGAGGGCCAGATCTGGCCCACCATGCCCATTTGGACCTGCCGCATGTGCGCCTGCCACCGCCCACCTCCCCCCATGCACAGAAGGCAGTGGTTTGCTTGCTCAGAGAAATTCTCCAAGCAAGCAAGCCGCTGCCTTTTGCGCCTGCCTTGTGCATGCCTGCCCCCGCCTCCCCTTGCCAGGCACGTCTGCCCATGCCTCACCTGCCTGCGCCTCCCCTCCCCATGCACCCTGTGCCCACCTCAGTGTGGGCACCCGCACGCACCACCCCTGCGCCTCACTGGCCCGGGGGCACCGCTGGCACCACCTTTCCGGCCTGCGGCCAGCATCCACACCTTTCAACTGGCCCCCTGCTGAAAAAGTTTGAGGACCCCTGATTTAGAGGATAAATTCAGGCAATTATTTTGCCAAATGGAAACTTAGCAGGGTGACAGTTAAGTGTGGTATAACATGGCACCATTGTCCTCACACAGTTATAAGCACACTTGCGGCTTTGAAAATGGCCATCTGCCTTTGGTTAGAGTATAAATGTCACCATGGCAGGTGGATAGCATGTGGTACCAGTAACATAATGGCAGAAACTTCTAAATGCTTGGACAGCCAGACTGAGCTCCCTAAGAGTCAGCTCTGTCTTTTGAGATGCAGTTACAAGAAGTATGTTTTCCTTGACCAGCCCCAAGCATGTGGCCTGGCTTTTCTGAGCAAGACGTGGGTAACGAAAGGTCACATGGTGCAGCCCAGGCAGAGATACCGCGTGTGGTCCTTGCACACAACTTGCCCAACAGATCTTGTTTACCGAGTTTTGAAATAACGTAGTCCAACCGTTTAATCCCAGGGTATTTCGTTAACAATGAGAGAAAGAGGATAGGCTCTTTTGCTCAACGAGTTACTGCCTGCCAAGGGTTCTAATACTGAATCACTGCCTCTGATAAATTGGAACTGCAGACTTTTCTTCCAGAGGTATTTTTCTTAAACTGTTTTTGTGAAGCCTGGAACAGTAACTGTTCTGTGCAGTGGGTGAGCATGTCTGAGCATACAGATCATTTGCATCTGGAAATCTTCAAGTGCTTCCTGTACCTATGTGCCAATGATCATAGATATCTTGGCCAGGGAATCCCTGAATAGACCCTCAAAGTGATTCCATGCAAATTTCTTCTCAGATCCTTTCCAACATCTCTCCCACTTCCTTTTTTTTTTTTTTTTTTGGGGGGGGGGGAGGCGGGAATAGAAGCAAAAAAAAAACAAGTGAATGTATCCACAGCTTCTATAATCTTAACTATTAGTGCTTGTGGGCACTGTGTACTGAATTGAATTAAATTAAATTGTGTACTAAATTAAAATAGGAAGTGAAAAACAATTGCAGACATGATGCCTGTTAGGGGAAATTCTTATTCCTCTTGTGAAACTGAGGAGTTTTGGGATAGACCAACGCACTGTCCGGTGCATTAGGGCATGGTTGACTGACTGAAAGCAAAGGGTAACCATTAGTGGGGAATCATCGGGATGGCAGCCAGTGACAAGCGGGGTCCCCCAGGGCTCTGTCCTGGGGCTGATCCTGTTCAATCTTTTAATCAACAACATGGAAAAAGGGGTGAACAGTCTGCTGATCAAATTCGCAGACGATACTAAAACTGGAGCAGTGGCCACAACTGAGGAGCAGGTACTTCAGATCCAGAAGGATCTGGACAGACTATGGAAGTGGGCAGGAGACAACAGGATGGCGTTCAATGTGGATAAGTGCAAGGTCTTGCACTTGGGGCATAGGAATAGGTGTCATAAGTACAGGTTAGGGGACAAGTGGCTGGAGAGCAGCACTTGTGAAAGGGACCTCGGGGTGCTGGCTGACTGCAGGCTGAACATGGGTCAGCAGTGTGATGCGGTGGTCAAGAGGGCGAACACCACCCTTGGTTGCATAGCCAGAAGCATGGCTTGTAGATCGAGAGAGGTGTTACTACCACTCTACATGACTCTAGTGTGCCCGCAACTGGAGTATTGTGTTCAGTTTTGGGCCCCTCATTACAGAAAGGATATAGCCAGGTTAGAGTCAGTGCAGCGCAGGGCCACAAGGTTGGTGGCCAGATTGCAAGGAAAGCCAAATCAGGGGAGACTGAGGGAACTGGGTCTTTTCAGCCTGGAGGAGACTCCGAGGGGATCTGTTGGTGATATGCAGGTATGTGAGGGGGTGTCATATGGAGGTGGGTAGAGACCTGTTCTCCCCTGCACAGGAAGGCAGAACGCACTCCAACGGAGCAAAGCCCAAGGAACTAAGGTTCAATTTCGATGCCAGGAAGTACTTCCTGACAGTTAGGACCCCAAGGGTGTGGAATGAGCTTCCACAAGAGGTCGTTGAGGCCCCATCGGTGAGGGTGTTCAGAGATAGGCTGGACATGCACATGGTGGGCATGTTGTGAGCGAAGCCGGCTACAGCTGGGGGTCAGACTAGATGGCCCAGGAGACCCGTTCTGACTTGCTTTGTTTCTATGTTATTCACCTAGTTTTGGCAGAATCGTGGCCTTGATAATGTGAGATCGCTCCCACAGAGACTAATATATTGTTAGGGCAGACTGGTGTTTTCTGTGCAAGAAGACAGAAGAAAAGCACAGGAGGAGGAGCAGAACCCAGAGGGTGGCATGAGCGAGCAAGGCCATGCCACCATAAAAGTCTTGCCTGGAAGCATCTTTCTGACAAGTGCCTGGCAGTCAAAGAACTGGACAAAAGAATGAATCAAGCCCCGTGGCCAAGCCAGCCTATGCCAACCTGCTGGTCCTCAGCTGTTTTGGAAGGTAACTCCCAGAATCTCAATCCTTGGCTTTGCTGATGGGAGCTGAGGTCCAAAACCTCTGGATGGCACCAGGTTGGAGAAAGCCTTTCCGAGCCACCTGTCCAGAAACCACAAATGAGCCGCAGGAAACTCAGTGGGTAACTTTATTAGCATGCTTAGATTAGTAGACTAAATAGAAAAGTGTCAGATTAATAGAAAAAACATGGCATTAGTAAATCCTCTCCCATTTCTTCCACTGCCAGAGTGGTCTCTCAGGCTGTGTCAGCTTTAGCAAGTTGAATTGCGAGGCCCTCTATCTCTTCATCAGCCTCTTCTTCCCCCTGGGGCAGCTGGGCCTACAGTGAGAGGGAACAACACATCTGGGGCATACATTTCTTCGTGCAAATCAATTCAAGAGGCATCGACAGCTGCATGCAAAAGGTCTTTGAGGACTCTGTACCAAAGCATTCAGGCTGGGAAGGGGACACTGCTGGAAAGCCTGTGGCAATGAGGAATTAGATATTACAAGGGCCTTATCCAGTATGAAATACCCTGTCACAAATCCCTAGTAATTAGAAGTGGCCAATGTGCCAGGGTGGAAGATGCCACTAAAGCCAGAGCACCACATTTTAAAACTTTGCTTAAAATTAGACAACCTCATTTCAGCCTCTGGGGCTTTTGCTGAAGGCAGTGTTATCAGATGAAATCAAGAAACTTTGATACTCTCTGCATCGTAGCATTTGTCACTTAAATGCTATCTATTCGCTAGATCTTTGTCCATCATGGCTGGTAGAAGGACCCATGGCAGTTCTGAAGACCTGGATTGCTAAAT